GAATTTATACATCAAAGCCAACTCTACTCAACCCAGTCTAATTCATCCTCATCTCTTTAATAAAGTCTTAATGGATACATATACATTGTGTACTTCTAAAACATTGATATTTTTCCCCAAGCATTAAGAACTGGTTTGTTTCAAGACCATCAACAAACGATTCCAATTTATGTCATATCTTGACTGGTTACAATGTAGAGCTTCATATTGTAGTTAATTTGTTAATTAATTTAAAATAAGAAATTTTTTTTAGGTTTCAAATTATTTTTATATTTCCCAGCAAATGATTTCGAGGGATGGCAAGGTTTGGATCCTTGGTTCATTCTGCTCATATATTTGGAGCATCTCACAGGTTTAACTTACTTTGTTTGTTCATTTCTATTTCATCACCTTAACTTTTTTCTATTCCACCATTCATTCTTCAATCACATACATACAATAACATTAAATAATTAGAGAAGTTAGAGTTACACACATGCATAGCTAATTAAAAATCTTAATATTTAAATTGAATACAATTAATCATTATTCCTTATAAGGAGAACATGTGTATATGTGTAAAACATTCTACCCATCAACTAAAACCTTTTACATATGATATTTCCACATTTTACATTAAAACAATAGCAGAAAAATACATGTACAAGACACAAATACAACAATGAGACCATGAAACACACACTTGTACAAACAATACATAACTGACAAGAACTTCACTGACATGTGGTCGATGCTGCCAACTTTACAGTAATGTCTAATTAATGAAAAAAGGACACTGTCGTTATTTTTCTTCTATTGTTCATTTGATATATGAAATGACCTGTGACAGGTCAAGCAGTTGGTTACAATGTAAGCCTAAATAACCTCCAAGGTCCCAAGCTGAGAAAACGATCTGGCTGTGTGGACATACTTGTGTCCTTGGGCAAGACACTTTACTTATTAATACCCTTATTGCTTTACGATGGGCCTCCTGTATGTTGTTAAGTGAGGTTATAACCAGGTCCTACAAGGATCTAAGACTCAACCTGAAAATCACCCTGGCTATATTCAGAGGGCAAGAAAACCCAGCACATAAACAAAATGTTTCATGACATTATAAAATAAATCAACAAAATTTGAATGATCATAAACAAGTGAAAACCAGCCACCCAGAAAAGTGATGTGTAAACAACTAAAGCCTATGAAACTGTATGTAAATATATGTAGTATCTGTAGATAGGTTGCTTTTTTTCTAGTTTATTTAATATTATACTGTATGTAAATATTCATCATTATATGTATAGCACAAATGACATAAAAACTTACTAGAAACTGATATCCCTGGGTAATTGTACAGCAACGTAGTTGTCCATGTACTAAAACTATGGTGCTTTCTTATATTCATCAGCTATCAAAATCAGCTTTTATCAGCATTTCACTTCATGAATATTCATCAAGTAGAAAATCCATTAATCATAAAATGTTTGATGATGTACTAGTTGTGACAATGGAGACTTGAGGATAATAAAGAATCTTATAAATATTCAAATACAAATTAAAGGTGTGAATTTTTATAATTACGTTTGTTGCATACTAAGAAAAAAATAATTACGACATTTCATCTTATCCTAGGTGAGGTCAAAATTTTATCAGCTGTAATGAAAGCACTTGTTTGTGACACTAACCCCAGCTCTGTAACCCAGTTTGTTAAAACAAACAGTAAAAATATTATGAATTCCCTATGGGGAGCCCCTAATGGTTGTGGATTGTATTTTTGAGCAATAAGGGTTCCCTATGTGGGGCCTCCTGATGATTTCGCAATGCTATACAACTCTGAACTCCCCAGTGTAACCTATGGATATGGTTTTCTCATTCAGATGTTTACATTCTGAGGCTTTGATCTAAGAAACTCATGCTGTACCTATTTTAATAACAAATTTATGTCACTCATTCACAAAAAACACAAAAACAGTTACATTCAAGAGGTCAACGCCCAACATTTCTTCAGTTTCAACATATACGTCTCTGATTTCAATAAGAAACAGTATTTTTCTATATTTTTCTTCTTTTTTTTTCAGAATGTTACCATAAATTGAATATAAACTTCCGCTACTTAAATGATAAACATTCTGTACAGTAGTCTTTCTGTTTTCACTGTTTTAATTTCTGGCTATTTACTGTGTAGTTTAATGACATAGAACAATGTAGGTAGATAATGTAAATCTATACAAAGATTCATATCCTACCAATTCAACCTTCTTAAAGATCTAATACAGTGTAACCTTATTTGATAAAGCTATCCAGAACTGACAGTAAGTTATTTAAGTTAAAAGTGATATAAATTAGACACTGTTACCAGATAAGTTATATTTTTACAAGTGCCTAGTCAACTTGAAATGAATTAAAATAAAAACTGCTCTTGTGAAATTTTTGAAGTGTTTGAAACAAAATGTTTAATTCTGTACTAGAAATTACAAAAAGAAATCACTATGTGCTTACAGAATAATTTACATGATGTATGTAGGTAAATGAAAACTACAATAAAAGTTAACATGATTTTTTTTATGGTTTATAAACTAACAAGACCTAACAAATCTGATTCAAATGTTTATTAATCTCCATCAGCTAAGTATTGTTGATAACCCTGGCCTTAAATATTCCATTACACAGCTTATCAAGGTTGATACTGTCAATCATCAAGGACCTGTAGGGCTGATATGTAAACACAGACAAACCTGTGTATTTACTTCTGCCAGGAAGGTAAATACTTAAAATTGGAATTATAAAGTACTGATACTATGAGTATGGTGACTTTTTACACAGCATGCTAGAAGAGAGGTTACAACTAATAATTTTCTTTGTAAAGACAAAAATTTTTATATAGTGAAGTTTATTCTGCTTAATGTCATTATGTGATATTAAGTGAAATATGACATTAACAGTCAGATTTTTTTTTCTGCTGTTGAACCCTGGAAACATGTACATCTGGAAGGCAAGCTATAGCTGAAGAAGACTCAACTCTAGGTCTTCTAAACAGCAGACAGAGATTCTAACCTGATTACAATATTACCCAATGATCAAGAGCACCACAAGTGTCTGATACCGACAGTCAGCACACTCTAGTTTATTTTCTCTCTCCTTGCCGCCCCTCCTTTAACTCAATCTATTGTTTATAACCAGAGGTGGCTGTAAAATATGTTATCTGAACCCTGAGCATTCTGATTTGTTCCAAATTAAACCTTGATAACAAGTTACTAGTCTTATTCTATGTTGAAATAGTATATTTCATCTGAAAAACAAATCTTCATCATTTACAGCTGTGATTTATCAGATATTGTAGTTGGAGGTACAAAATGCATGATGTACAATGTATATATTTCATTGTTATAATGTATGAAATATTTGGTACATTTGATTCATGAGTTCATGTACATGTGTCCACACACAACACCTCCCCCCCCCCCCCCCCCCCCCCCCCCAAAGTTTTCTGGCATATTTATATTATGGCCTTCACTTCATCCTGGAAAACCCGTATCATCCTTTACACTTAAATACATTTATAAGCAACAACCTTCCCTCTTGGTTTCCACATTATACTTCCCAAAACCAAGACTCAACCCTATACCCTAACCTGAGAAATGTTTACTGTTGTAGTTCTATGTTAAAAATAAAACACATTCCATGCAAGTTTCTGACAGAATTAGACTTTGTATCTCTGGAATGATAAAAAGCATGCTGTACAAGTGTCAAAAACAATAGCCATGCCACTGTATCAACACACTGCACTGACACAATCTATTCCCACATCTCATCACTTTTTTTGACTTGCTTTTAAATTTTTAATCTCTGAACCAACCACAATCAAAGTTACATTCTATAAGCCACCAGTTTCACAAAGATTGCTGTTTAAAGACATTAGGTATGCTAAAAGAAAAATATGCAGAAAACTTCAAATGACAAAATGTGTAACATTCAATTAATTTGCTGGTGCCCACAGCAAATAAGGCGAGAAGGAAAATTATCTATACACATATATAAGTTTCAATTGACAGTAATTAAAAGATACATGTAGAAAAGATAAGGCATGGATAGGAAAGTTTTTAGTTCATTTTTGGTTTAGGACTATCAGACTCAAAATAAACAAATACATTTTTCAAATATTTATATCCAGCATATATGTACATAGATGTCTCATAATTGTTGCTTTCCATGGATCGCTTAGGAAATATGATTTTTTTATGTAACATTGTGCTTTATAATAATGAAGTATGTGGATTATGTCATGCTTTAATAGATCAGTGAGAAGATAATATCATCACTTTATATATGTGATGTAACTGCTGATATCAGCAGAATAATTCACATGTATCTCCTTTAACACATTCCTTGAGTAAATATTCTCCTCAAAATCAGCTGGCAGACATGAGATCAATCTTCACCTACAAAATCACTGCTGTCGATTCATTGAACAACTATTAACATGACACTCCAGTTATTAATCATACACAATGATTGTACAAAAGACACACAAGTAAACAACACCTTTTAAAACAAGTTTAGAGTCAGAAGCATTCAATCCGGTAAACTGCATCATAAAGCGGTTTCGTCCTTCAAGGACTCCTCAATGATGCTAATTTACAACGAAATAAGACCAAATACAAATCCGTCAAAACTGGTGACACAGTTCAGAAATACGTCAACATTTTGTGACGAATTCAGTACTATTTGTAAAAAGATTACATATGTCACTGAAAACAGGACTTCATATCAACTAATACTATACCAATAGGAACCCACGTCACTTTTTACAGACTGTAACCCCGAGACAGAAATCTACACCCTAACATGTATGTAATCGAATACGACCGATTAACTGCGGTGATCCGGTCTCGCGACCTGTCAAAAAAGAGATAAACAACACAACACGGAGAGTCGTGCATCTTTAAACAGTAATTGGTTTGTATGACGTATTGGATACGATCAAAAAAGGTCAAGCACACAGAGCTTAGTTTCATAATTACCTGAACGTAACTGCTCCTAAACAGCAAAATAGATCTCTATGTGATAAGTTTCTGGAAGCACCCAGTCGCCATTTTTGGAATATTGCAATGTAGCATTTCCGCATCCGGTGAAGAGGCCCTCTAGGGGAAACATGTAGCATCTGCCAATAATTCGAATAATTAGCATTAGTGATTCTGTATTATACGTCCCTGGTGATATAATTAAATATTTATCAATGTCATTAAATATTTATTGATACTATTAAATTGAATTATTGACTTCAATCATTTAATTGTATCACTGATTCGAATATTTTATATTGCAATTTAAATTCTTGGCATTAAAATATATCATTTAATTCTTATGAAAAATATCAATAATTCAATTAATGATATCGTTAACTCGAATTAGTGATATCAATGAATGAATTCGTGATCATTTAGGTAAATTTTGTACTTAAACGACACCCAGCAAATACAACTACACTGTACTTTTAATACTATTTCTTGGTGAGAACTATAGAGACCAATCTCTTTCATGTATATAGATTTCCAACCGTGAATGTCCGTAGATGTACAAGATCAAATTTAGGACTGCAACGTCAATAAAATAAAGTCCACCTCTTGCTTTCCGTTCGTGTATCTGTTCGTTTTCATTGGTCCCTAATATCTGATATTCAGTTTCGGACAAAATCGAAAAAAATGACTTTCTAAGTGAACACAAGCTAACAAGAAAATACCACCATGTAAATATAATCATAATTTAAGCTCAAATTAGAAAAAAATTGGGGCAAAATATGAACAAAAGTAATATTTACTCGGAAACTGCTGAAAAAGTACAAGGACAATAAGACCATGTGTTCCGGAAGAGTAAGCGTCCTCTGATTTATCGACGACACATGCCATGTACAATGTATATGTAAATTTTAATAAATGCAAGTAAGTAATATCACGTTCTCAAGTTGTGTATACAACAACGGAATCAACAGACAAACTAACAAGCATTCAACAGACCCAGCTACATATCGCACAAAGAAATAGAATCTTACAAGTTATTGGCTTTGATTTCGAAAATTCTCTGCCCAAATTTTTATTACTAGTTTTTTATGCTTTCTGATATATGCCCAGTTTTGAGACTGATTGAAAAGGTAACTTGCGATGATTATTAACAAAAAATCTATAGTTGAGTATACAGTGATTGAATGAAGACTAAAAGACGTTGATGATGAATCAATTTCAGTATAGGTAGGTAGTAGAAGTAAAGAACTTGACGGACTCACGGGTAATGTTAATAATGGCAACATTGTCAAAGTCTGATTCGGGATACAAGTAATGTCGTAAAGCGCTGTAGATCATGTGTGATGATTAAAAAATATGGTCATTTGGGCTGGAAGGGAAGGGGAAGATGAAGAGGAAGGGGGGGGGGGGGTGGTGTTGTAGAAAGGGCGGGGGGAAAGGGGGGGATGCCGGTTACGTGCTGAAAAATATATTGGAAAGTGATGTGGTCGTCCAGTAATGATTTAATTTCTATCTACTTGTGCGAAATGACGTCGGGTGCATTTTTTATGTTCGTTAGTTGGGTACATTAAACTTGTTTTCATTTAGGAACTATTCCTTGAGTTTTCGAGTAGTTGTTTATTTTGATTTTGATATTGTTTTATCTAATCTGGGTTTGAAAATCATACTGGACAGGACAGTATAGTCATGTGATCGAGGATTGTGACATTTGTATTGTTAGATATTTATTTTTCTTAAACTGGAACATATCTACATAAAATAATATTTTCTATCTTGTGATGTAACATCAATTTTCATTTACTATCATGAAACAGTAAATGTTGTGAAACATATTCCATTATCTATATCAATTAGATGTATTTATTTAACGTGTCACACAGACATTGCTTTAAACACTGGAAAACTCGAGAACGAGTTCTTTCCTTGAACGTAAGACTAGTAAACTAAGGGTACCGGGTTCGAATCCGGGAGGAGGCATTAAAACAAATTCTGACTTCTGTAACAGTTGAAGGGAATATTTTTTAAATGGGGTTAAAGTTCATGGAACTGGTAAAACGGAATATCCCACATCATCACTTACCACAGCTGTAGAATAGAAGTTTCAGTGTGACGTTTCGATTACTACAAGGTCAACTTCATCAGACAAATGACCAGTGTGTAGCGCACTAGCACCGACATACACAGTGTGCGAGGTGATATGGAACCGGCCAAGTTTTTTCCAACTGTATTATAATCCTGTGTAAACTGTGGTTAAAAATATTGTGATGAGATGGTAAACAAATCATAGACCAAAAATAACCATGTGTCTGATGACGGTGACTGCGTAGTCATCAAAACGTCACACTCTAATCTTCTACTGGCTGTGTTATAAGATGAAGGTGACCGCGTAGTCATCGAAACGTCACACTAATCTCCTACTGGTTGTGTTATAAGATGAAAAAAAATGTTCTGAGATATTAAAACAGCTGGCTTTGATAATTCTCTATTCGTACATCATGCAAGTGACAGTTTACAGTTACTTTTAGTCGTTTATTCACTAAATAATTACACTCAAGAACATTTTTTGAGATTCAGAAAATTATATCGAGAACAAAAGGCTCTTACAGCCTTTTCAGAACAAAATAGAGACACAATTTTTGTGCGTAAACAGCTGTTTTAGATTGATATGCTTTGGAAATGCTATTGTGAATAGATAGATATAGCTAAATATTTACTCATGGAGAATTCGAACCATGACACAGGCCTAATGGATATCTAATGCAAATATTGTAAATTGTCGTGTGTTGTACGGATAAAAACAACAATTAGTACGCCCTAAGTGCAAGTTTGACAAAGTAAACAATTTTTATTTTATGCGTTCAATTAAAATTAGAATTATTATTTTTTTTTTGTTTTTATGTTCTTTGGTTCATTTGGTTCGATCGCTCTCTTCCTTATAATCTTTTGATAACAAATTAAACTATGTTGATTTTGAAACGCATTGAACGTTGAGATTGTTGTACCATTAACAAAGAATTTCACTGACGGAAAATTATGTAGGATTTGAACAATACAGGTATTTCCTATTCAAACTAATGTGAGTTTTTATTCTATGCGTAATTGTAAATGCAATACTTGTTATATGGCACGAGAAAAAAATATAAAGATCCGTCGAGACCCGGAGTCAAACCGAGAGTTGACGGAATATGCCGAAATGCTCCTATTGCTGCAACTTCTTTTATAACTATGATTCAAGCAACATTTATTGTAAACAGTTGTTTTTCTACCTCAATTGTCATTGTTTGACCTCCTAAACAACAGATGGACTGGCTAATTTCAATTTTAGCAAAGTATGAATTTACGCCTGAAAATATTAAACTCGTTCTGGAATATCATCCCTTTCGTTTTGGCGTTCATCTGCTTTCTGAATTTTGCTTCACATCGTCTTTGAGTTACGGCTATCGTGGCAATTTAGTATTATTTACCACTATGCATTGACAATATAGACCAAGTTCTTTCGATTTACACAACATACAGTATCTTATCATACGAAGCAAATAACGAAGAAAGATGGCAGACTTTCACGTGATATTTACTTGAAATGTTTGCGCAGAAAGATAACATTCTTTGTCAAAATTCCTATTCAGAAAGCGCTTTTAACAAGAAATCTGAAGTCCAATGGACATTTAGATCAGATTCCATGTCCAAAGTTAACATATCTTGGGAAGAACAAGTACATGCTGGTGTTATATTAAATAGTAGGGATGATTTGGTTTTAGATTGATATACGGGATAAATGCCTTTCAAGCTTTCAAGGTGAGTGAAATTTTCTGCTGTTTGATAAGGTTTTATTGTCTTTCTGTTTTTGTTGTTTGTTTGTTTTGTTTGTTTATTTGGCTTTTTCACTATGTTTCTCCTAATTAAACCATTGATACAAACATTGAGTGTGAATAACTTCATTCGTCACATTTAAGCCATTGTATTTCGATGTAAATAGATCGTTTTGCTGTGTGAATTAAAACAGTATCAAAGTCAGGAGTTTTTTACGGGGTCGAAGACGTTGTGAAGGAGGGAGTAGTGTAGAAGTTGAGAGTACAGGTCGCTTAACTAGCCTCAGCTCTAGCGGTAGAGCGTCCGGCTAGAGACCGATGGGTTGCTACTTCGAACCCCAGCGGTGTTTTTTATTACTCCTTCCTATTACATATCATTGAAACTTAAATACAGAATGTTATTCCTTGAGTATAATTGTACAGCTATACGTTGCCTTATATACTGTAATATACCGTGTGATTATTTGCAGCTAAGTCTCAATATATAGGACGGTCGATAACGCACATGCATTTTACCTATGTACATTGTATAGTTGTCCAGTGTTCGATTCCCCGGTTTCCTCCAACAGTAAGACTCTAAGCGCGCTTTCAGTGATTAATATAAACTTACAAATAGTTTCGCATGTTGTTGTGAAATAAATAAAGTTAAGTTGTTTGTTTTCTCTCCCGATACAATGCTCCTTGTGTGCGTACGTCAGTAAAACCGTCGTAAATGTCCAGTATGTTTTCCTATCAGTAACATACTGTGATAAGTTGTTAAAAATAACAGTTAGCGATATTTATTGTTATAAACACGGAAGTCTTATCATAACGTTAACTTTAATGTGCTAAGTATCATGATAAGCCTGCAACACCTGTATGCAAAATTTTGCATTGGGATTATAAAAAACGTACCGCTTAACCTGGTACAATGTCCATCGTGCTTTGATGTACAGTTTAACCTAAATACATGTCCATCGTGTTTTGATGTACAGTTTAACCTGAATACAATGTCCGTCGTGTTTTGATGTACAGTTTAACCTTAATACGATGTCCATCGTGCTTTGATGTACAGTTTAACCTGGTACAATGTCCATCGTGCTTTGATGTACAGTTTAACCTAAATACATGTCCATCGTGTTTTGATGTACAGTTTAACCTGAATACAATGTCCGTCGTGTTTTGATGTACAGTTTAACCTTAATACGATGTCCATCGTGCTTTGATGTACAGTTTAACCTGAATACGATGTCCATCGTGCTTTGATGTACAGTTTAACCTGAATGCAAAGT